TGTAAGAGACATGGGTTCAATTCCTGGGTCAGGAAAATGCCCTGGAGAAGGGCATGGCAACCCATTCTAGCATTCTTGCCTGGAGAATGCCACTGACAGAGGAGCCTGGCAGTCTACAGTCCAAGGATTGCAAAGAGTCAGACATGACTGAAGCAACTTAGCATACATGCATCTCCCCCATTTGAAAGATTGGGAAACTGAGGTTCAGAGTGTGGGAAAACTCATCCAGAGTCATGTAACAAGTCAATGACTCGGCTGGGGCCTGACCCCACATCTTTCTAACTACGTGGCCAGGCTCTTTGTCCCAACTTGGACCTTATCCCATATCAGAGAATTGGGGGCTGAGAACTAAGAAGGTAGCCTCTTATGGAACTTTCAGAAAGGGCATGTTGCCAGCTTGGCCATGCCTGCCTCTTCGAACCTCAGTTTCCTTCTCTGGAAAATAAGACCAGAGCATCTTCCCAGAAGGTGTATAGGATTTGCACATAATAAGTTTTGTAAGAACTTCATGTGTGCAAGGTCACCTCCCACCTTCTTGGCATCTAGATCAAGAATCAGAACGCAGGTGGCTACAGACCAGGTGGATACCACCCATAAGGGGCTGCTATAAGAAAAATGGTGGTGCAAATCAGTGATCAATGGCAGCAGGCAGTCAACCTCAGTGCCCAGGACACCACTGGGAGGGGTAGAGATGGTGGCTAATTGGATCCATCTAAGGATGCTCACTACTGCTATGAAGGAAGCACACTCAGACTACCAAATCTTAGTTTTCCAAGAGGAGCTGGAAATCTGATTTTCACATGAACTCTTCTAAGTTTTAAATGTTGATCAGTAACTTTAAAAAAATTTTTAAGCACTCCAAGTTAATCAGGCATATCCAAGGGCGAGGTTTTGCCAGTTTGTGCCTGCATTGCTGGCCCTCCCTCCCCTGCCTCCTCCTGGGAGCACAGCTGGGCTCCGACAGACTGAGTAGATAAAAACAGGCCTTGCATGTACACAGCCCAGCCCTAAAGTAGCAGGGACGTGCACACCCTTCATCTTCTTTAATTCTCCCTGCAGCCCTGGGGGAGCAGGGAGTAGGTTTGTTAGGGTCCCCAGTGAGGAGAAGGGACTCGCCTAAGGTCATAGAGCTGGTTAAAAAATCAGGAAGCTGGTAAGTTGGGGAGCTGTCCTGGCTTCTGGCCCATGCCTCACCTGGAGGAGGGAGCCTGATGGAGGGGCTGGTGTGAGAGGACCCTGGGGCTGGGCTACCAGGGATGAAAAGAAGGTTGGTGAGGACTCAGAGCACACCTCCTATAGCCCTTGGCAACTCCTTCCAGTTCCAGCCCCAAGCTCCCTATTTCGTTGTGGAGTTTTAGTCACTAAGTCATTTTCGACTCTTTTGGGACCCCATAGACTATAGCCCACCAGGCCCCTCTGACAATGGGATTTCCCAGGCAAGAATTCTGGAGTGGGTTGCCATTTCCTTCTCCAGGGGATCTTCCCTGGGATTCAACCCAGGGATCAAACCACTTCTCCTGCACTGGCAGGCAGATTCTTTACCACTGAGCCACCTGGGAAGCCCCAAGCTCCCCATACATCTGTTTTTATGCTGATGAAAAGCAGATCCAAACAATTGCAGCTGACCTCTCCTGTGTTTCAAACCTGTCTCCCAGAAGCCTCCTGGATATCTCCCCATAAGGCCCACAGACACCCCAGTTAAATTTCCCAAAACCCAGTCCCCCACCATCCTCTGCAAGACTGCTTCTCCTCCCATCCCCCCATTTTGGTGAAATCCTCACCCCCAAGTCCCATAAACCCAAAGCTTGGGGGGCCCAGTGGTGAACAATAGCAGCTGAATCCCCATCCAGGCACCTGAGGGCTAGGTGGGGATCCAGAGGTGTAAAGGGCTATAGGCAGAATGACAAGAGTCTGGTTAGGAGTAGAACAAGAGGCCACGGGAACCCCGAGGAAGGTGGTAGGCAAAGAAGGGTCATTGGAGGAGGCGGCGTTTAAACTGAGAATTGATGGTTTACTAAAAGCCAAGCAGGAAAGTTGTAGAGGCCAAGATGAGAGAGAATGTGAACCCCTGGTTGAACCCAAAGCAGTTTTGAGTGTGTGTGTGGGTACACATGCTGTGGGGGATGGAATGCATAATGAAAGATAAAGCCCACCAACTAAGTAAATATACAGGAGCTTAGAAGCACATTAAAGAGTTGGACGTGACCCTAAAGATTTTAAAGAAGTCATTAAAAGTTTCTTTTTCCCTGTTTTTTTTTAAATAATACATGCACACATAATCAAAATTCAAGCATTGCAAAGCAGCATTAATAAAACAGTTTCTTCTACCTCCAGATATCTCTGGTCTCGCTTCCCAAAGGCAATCACTGCTGAAAGTTTCATGGGTTTCCTTCCAGAAATTTTCTCTTTATAAATAAACCTACAGATATGTACCTGTCCTTTCCCTTGCCTACACTCACAGGAACCCACTCACCATGCTGTCCCCTGGTTTTTTTGCTTAACTTACCTTGAGCATCTTTCCTCATCACTCCACCCATTCTGACAGCTGTGGAGGGTGGAGGGTTTCCCATATGTTTGTCCCACATTTTACAAACCCACTTCCTGGTTTTCTTCTCATTACCAGCCATGTTCTCATGCACCATTAGTCTGATATTGATAAATGTCCTTCCAAAAAGATTGCAACCAATTTATTTCCCCTAAAAGAGCAAGGAGGGCTTTGAGCCAAGAGTGGCATGGTGGGACCAACGTCACAGAAAGGGCATTCAGTCATTTATTTAACAAACATGTATTGGAAACCACTTGCTTACTATGTGCCAGTCATTGTTCTCAACCCTGAGACTACATCAGTCAACATGGCAAAGTCCCCACACTCCTGGAGCCGACATTCTCATGGGAGAGACACATCATGAGCAATAAACAAGCATATGCAATTTGAGGATGAAGACAGGTAGCAGAAAGAAAAATGGAGCAAGGGGGAAGGAGGCTACTTTATCCTGGATGTGTCAGGGAAAGCTTCAGGGAGATGCAGATGTTGGGAGCGAAAGCATTTCAGGCATAGAGGAGACAGCCAGTGCAAAGGCCCCAAGGTAGTGGGTTCAGGAACCAACAGGGCAGACGGGTCGCTGAAGCGGGGTAATCAGGGGAGAGCCATAGGAGACAAGACCAAGAGCTGTGACAGGACCAGAAAATGCAGGAACTTGTGGACTATGGTGAGGAGTTTCCCTGGTGACACAGATGGTAAAGAATCTGCCTGTAATTTGGGAGATCCAGATTCGATCCCTGGGTTGGGAAGGTCCCCTGGAGAAGGGAATGGCTACCCACTCCCATATTCTTGCCTGGAGAATTCCATGGACAGAAGAGCCTGGCAGGCTACAGTCCATGGGGTTGCCAAGAGTTGGACACAGCTGAGTGACTAACACTTTTACATTGCATGAAATGGAGAGACACTATATGGTTCTGGGCAAAGGAGGTCTGTCTTGAATTTTACTAAGATCCCTCTGGCTGCTGTGTTGAGAATAAACAAGTAGGGTGAAGGATAAAGCAAGGATAATTCCAGTCAGAGATGGTGTGGGTTTGGCTCAGGATAGTTGCCAAATTCTGGATTTCTTTTTAAGGTAGATCCATTTTGCTCGGATGTGGGCTGGAGGGTTTGAGAAGAGGTCGAGGGATCTTGGCCTGAGCACTACAGTGTGACTTTGGAGATGTGGGGAGCAAGATCTCTGGGGGAATCAGAGCGCTGCTTGCCTTGGCTGCTGAGTTGCATGCTGATCCAGCCACCTGCCAGATCCTTTCCCTGGGTGTACCCCAGGTACCACACATTCAGTTTGTCCAAAATGCAACTCTCCCTTTCCCCATATGTCTTGCCCAGCACCCCCCAACCCCAGCCAGAATTCTGCAGACCACCCCCACAATCACCTCTTACATCCAGTTGGTTCCTGTCAGTTTCCCTTGGACCTCTCAAAGCTGCCAACTCTTCATCCCCACCACCTTCGCTGTACTGTCTCTCATCTAGACCATCACAGAGAAAGGGCTGGATAAATGAATGAAGATCAGGATGCATGAGAGGTTGAATAAATGATTGGCCAACCCCTCCTCTCCAGCCTCCACACCATCCCTAAGCAGTCTTTGAAAACACACATTTCAGACTATGCTCTTTTCTCAACCGTAAACCATTCCCATCTCCCCAGGGCCTACACAGATATAAACTGGTGATCCACAGACATACTTTGGCCCACATACCATATTTTTTAAATCTTGAATTAATTGGGATATTTTACATTAAACTTCTATATTTCCCACTTCTGACTGATACTACCAGGATGCACTTCTCCAGGACAGTACTTGGCTAATGGAGTATGGTCCGCTCTTAAGACAGGGCATGTGCTCTCCAGTTTGCCTTAGTCCTGAACACTCCCTACTGTTTAGGACCCAGTCTGCTTTCTTCAATTAGATTACCTACATGGCCCCTATGGCATCAGAATTTGTGACCCATGGCCTAAAGAAAAACAGCATAACTTCTAGATAGCATGTTGCATGGGGTGGGCTGAAAAGGGAGGGGAGAAAAGTTAGATTGTGGCCAAGTTGTGAAGGGCCTTGAATGCCCTTTTAGGAAGCCTGGCCTTTATCCAGAGGGCCAATGGGAGCAGTGAAACAGGGAAATGGTATGGCAGGGTTCATTTATTAGCCCAGACCCTATGGACAGGAGGGGATCAGACAAAGGTAGAGAATGTGAAGAAGGCCCGGCTCTTAGGAACAGTGAGAGGGAAGGGGCCTGGATAGAGGCTTCTCCCACAGGGTCTCCTCTGAGCCTGAGTCTGCTCTTTCTGTGTTTCAGAACCAGACAGACGCCTGGGGCCCAAGCATGGTCTTGAGGGCAATTGGGCAGTGCTGAAGACCCAGCCTGGCTCCAGCTGCTTCGAAAGGACTCCAGCCCCCCAGGACCCCAGCCCACAGCCTTCTGCTGCCCACAGGATGGGAGCCTGGGGGCTGGGAGCCAGGCCATGAGGGACTGCTGCCCCTCCCAGCAAAAGGCCATCCCTACACACCCAAGGCACACCCCTGCCCAAAGCCCAAGCATGGACTCTAGACACAGCAGCCTCAGTGGGGCTGGGGAAGGGGCGTCTTGCTCTGCGGACCCTGGCAGGAGTTTGGCCTACCCCTCCAAGACCCACATCCCTTCCCAAGAGGCAGCTGCCAAGGAGACATTAGGGACACAAGGAGCCTTGATCTCAGGAACACCAGAAACCACCTCCTCTGGGAGGCCAGAGCCTGTGTCCTCAGTGAAAACTGATCCTTCACCCTCAGAGAACAGAAATCCAATGTTCTTAGAGAATATGGATTCCAAGTCTTCAAAACAGCTAGATTCCATTTCCATAGGAAAGGAAGATGCTGGGTCCTTGAGGATGGCAGATCCTATGTTTACAGGAAAGACAGAGCCTGCAATCATAGGGGAAGTGGATTCTGTGGCTTCTGGAAGTAAGGATCCCGTGACCCTAGGAAAAGAGGATCCTGGATCCTTGGGAAAGGTAGATCCTCAGTGCTCCAGCGAGATGGATACAGTATCCCTAAGGAAGGAGGAGCCTGGATCCTTGGGCAAAGTGGATCCTGTGTTCCCAAGAAAGGAGGAGCCCAGGTATTCAGGAAAAGACCTTCGAGTGTCCTCAGAAGAGGTGGGGTCTGCATTTACAGAAAAGACAGATCTTGTAGCCTTGGGAAAGAGAGATCTCGAGTTCTCAGCAAACGCGGATCCTGTGTCCTTGGAAACGCTGACTCCAGGGTCACCAGGCAAAATCATGCCTGGAACAGTGGCTCTGGGGCCATCAGGAAGGGCAGATCCTACTCACTTGGGGATGACAGATCCTGCATCTATGGTAAATGCAGAAATTATGTCCTCCACAAAAGAGGACCCTCAGTTCCTAGGAATGATGGACCCTGCCTCCTCAGAAAAGCAAGGCTCCATGTCTGTGGGAATGACAAAAACCATGTCTGCTGGACAGGTGGAGCCCACGTCTTTGAAAAATATGGACCCCGTGTCTGCAGGCGAAGTGGGTTCGGTTTCTTTGGCAAAAGTGGATCCTGTGTCCTCAGGAAAGCCAGAGCCCTTGTCTCCCATGCAGGCAGAACTGATGTCAGTGGGAAAGACAGAAACCACATCCTCAAGAAAGGAGGACCCAGTGTCCTCCAGAAAGGGGGATCCCATTTCTGTGGGAAATACAAAAACATCACCTCCTGGAAAAGTGAATCCTGAATCATCAGGAGAGATAGACTCTGTGTACTCTGGTCCCATGGGTCCTCCTTCCTCTGAAAAAGCTGAGGCAGTGACTAGGGGGAAAGCAGACCCATTGTCCTTGGAAAAGTCAGGTCCCCTGGCCCCTGGAAAGGTGGGTCCCCCAGCCTTGGGGAAGGTTGAACCCCCCATCTCGGGGAAAGTGAACCCTGTGAGCAAGGGAAAGCCGGAAGCTGTCCTCCCCGGAGACATGGACTCCGAGTCCTTAGGAAAGGTAGCCCCCACGAGCCTAGGAAAAACAGTCCGGGCATCCTCGGGAAAGGCAGAAGCTGTCCCAGAGGGAACGGTGGATGCTCTGCCCCTCGAGAAGGGCAATCCTATGAACTCCACGAAGGTGGATCCCAGGGCCTCCGGGAAAGCAGAATCCAAGTCCGAGGGCAAAGCGGAAACCACACCCTGTGGGCAAGAGGGCACCGCCTCACCAGGGAAAGCAGAGGCTAAATCTTCGCCGACCGAGAAGCCACTGGCCCCGGAGAAGCCGGATCCTGGACCCTCAGAATCAGCAGGCTCTATTGCCTCTGGGAAGGTGGCGCCTGTAGCCCTGGACAAGACTGACTCTGTGCCTCCGAGAAAGGGGGAGCTCCCATCCTCGGGGAAGGGGGACAGCCTGACTCTGGAGAAGGCCTCCAGGCAGGCAGATGGCAAACCCTGTGACTCCGCTCCTTCTCCCGCAGACGGCGGGGGCCGCGTGGAGCCAGCGTCACTGCCCAGCTCCGAGGCCTCCAGCCTCGTCCGTAAGGACCCTGCGGCTGCTAGGGCTGAGAGGAGCCCCGGCCTGGAGGCGGTCGCGCCGCCGCCGCCCGGGCCGCGGACTCGCGACAACTTCACCAAGGCGCCGTCGTGGGAGGCGAACGCCCCGCCGCCACGCGAGGACGCGGGCACGCAGGCGGGCTCGCAGGCCTGCGTGTCGGTGGCCGTGAGCCCCATGTCTCCGCAGGACGGCGCGGGCGGCCCGGCCTTCAGCTTCCAAGGGGCGCCGCGCGCGCCCAGCCCCGCGCCCGGGCCGCCCTCTCGCCGGGACGCGGGCCTGCAGGTGTCGCTGGGCGCCGCCGAGACGCGCTCCGTGGCCACCGGGCCCATGACGCCGCAGGCCGCCGCGCCGCCCGCCTTCCCCGAAGTGCGAGTGCGGCCGGGCTCCGCGCTGGCGGCCGCCTCGGCGCCCCCCGACGCGGTCGAGCCGGTGCGCGACGTGAGCTGGGACGAAAAGGGCATGACGTGGGAGGTGTACGGCGCCGCTATGGAAGTGGAGGTGCTGGGCATGGCCATCCAGAAGCATCTGGAGCGACAGATCGAGGAGCACGGTCGCCAGGGGGCGCCCGCGCCGCCACCTCCCGCTGCGCGCCCGGGTCCGGGCCGCGCGGGCTCCGTCCGCACCGCGCCCTCGGAGGGAGCCGCCAAGCGCCCGCCGGGCCTCTTCCGCGCGCTGCTGCAGAGTGTGCGGCGCCCGCGATGCTGCTCGCGAGCCGGGCCCACGGCCGAGTGATCGGCTCCCCTTTTGTACGCCCGGGTTTCCAACCTTCTCAGGCTCCCTTCTCGATCCCAGGCCCCTAGAAGGGATCCCCTCGACACGCGACAGGCCTCCAAGGGGCGGGCAGCATCTAGGGTCTTCTCATCCTGTCTTTCCAGCCCCTTTCCCCTCCTGAACACACCAATGAATACCCTCTACCCAGCTCCTTCGTGGTCAGGAGCCCACGAACCCAGCCCCGACACCCCCACCGTCCCCTCATAGCCCTCAGCGCTACCCTCTCCCGGCCACACTGGGCGACCTCTGGGGACCTGCTCAGAGTCCCTCTGGGGACCTAGCCTTGAGAGCTAGGGCAGGCTCCTGAGATGTCCAGACAGGTGCGCTGTGATCTCCAGAGGCAGCCAGGTCCCCAGAACGGGAGAAACTGTGTACAAAAGCCCCAAGTATGTGAGGATTGGCATGTGAGACCCCCGATGTGCAAGCCCGGGGTGTATGCGAGTGCGTGTCCACGCGGCGGGCTGGCCCCATGGCCTGGGCATCTCTTGCATGCTGGTAGTTGTCCCCAGTTCCTGTCTCCCCCTCACCTGGCCCTATCCCCACCCTCACTGGACACCGCTCCACAATTCCCAGACAGGCCAAAGGCAGCTGCAGGAGTGCCCTGTGGGTGCAGCTGCAAGAGTCACAGAAACGCCGGAGGGTCCTGGTCAGAGGCCCACAGCCTGGTGACAGCTGGCCTTGGGTGCTGGGGACACGACGGAGAGCTCACTCTACAACCACCGTAGTCCCTACAAGACCACCTTCTCTGGCCCCTCGTCCCCCAGTGCCGTGAGCCCCACAAGCCCCTTGTGACCACTCAGTACCCCTGTCCCCCAACCCTCCAGCCACGGTTTTTGGCTACAAACTGTCACAATACATTGGTAATAAAATACTCCCCCCAACCCTTGTCAGCTGTGATTGGCTACAAGCAGACGGGGGTGGAGCAGCTTATCTTATTATTGATCAGGGAAGGGTAGGTGTAATTTGGGCGTAACAAAGCCCCTTTGGAGGTGGATCAGAAGAGTGGGGGCCCGTGTGGAGCTCTGTGGCCAGAGTCCGGTGGCTATGCCCCCATCACAGGTTTGTGGTGTCCAGGCCAAGGTTGGTGAAGACCAGCTCCTCCTTCCTCCCGAAGAGCTCACTGTCCCAGGGCTCTGGATCTGGCCCCATGGGAGCATGCAGGGGCTCCTTCTGTGGAAAGAGGGAGGGGAGGGGTCAGGCCAGGGCCAAGATGGAGTGATCTCCCCAGTCCTTAGGAGAATGAATGGGCCTTCAAGCTCACAACCAGATGGTTCCTTGGCTGGGGTCTCAGTTTCCTGACTCTGTCCCAGAGGCGGCCATGACTACTGGTGGTGCAGGTGATGGGGAGGGCCTCAGGGGTCTACTCCAGCCTTTGTCTCGCCCACGGATGTGGTGGCATTTTGCTCTCCTGCCAGGTCCTGAGTAATGTCAGGCCCTGTGTCCTGTACCAGAAAGCCAGTCCAGCCACAGTCCTTGCCACCTGTACCTCATGGCATGCACGGTGGGTGCTGGGCACAGCCATCCACAACCTGAGGTACTCACAGGATTCCCTGAGGGAGGGGTCATGTCCCCCAGTTTACAGATGAGGAAACTGAGGCTTGGAAGGCTCTCTGGCCCAGAAGGGGCAGAGCAAGGTTTGGACCACTGGTCTTGCTGACTCTAAAGCCTGTCCACGGCTCCACGCTGCCCCTGGCTGAATTTGGCAGGTCCTTCTGCCATCCCAGAGGGATACATCACACCCAAGTCCTGCCTGCTGGCCATCACAGCATACACTCACTGGTCTCCTGCCCTCCCTCTTCCCCTTCACCATGTGACATGTCACACTCACACCTTCACAAGAATCCCTCCTGTGGACCAGCCAGGCCCCCAGGCTCAGTTACCCCATCGTGAAGACACCCATGGGAGCAAAGCCCCAACCGCCGCCACCACCTCCACCCTTCCTAGGGCCCACTAAGGGCTTTTTCCAGACTGGGGTTGTTCTGGTCCCTAGTAAACAGTGGAATATCTGAGGGGGTCCCAGGAGGAACTAAACAGTCTGCCATGCTCCCCAGAGCCCTCCACATAGACCCCCACTGGGAACAGTTGGCACAGTGCAGCCCAGGAAACACAGCCTGGCCTGGGAGGTAGGAGACCTGGGTTCTGGGCTGCCCTGACCTCCCAAGCTTTCTAATCTTGGGCAGTTCAGCACCCCTCCCTGGCCTCGTTTGCTTGAAAAACTCAGACTGGATGAGCCCTCAGGTTTTTCAGACCTTCCACACAAACACTTATGGAAGGTTTAGGTGAGTCGGCCCCAAGGGGTCTCTGGAAAAAGGCCCCACCTGTATTCCGCACTTGGAGACCTCAAGGCTCACTTTCTGCTGCAGGATCTCGGAAACAACCCCAGCCCCTGCCTTTGCAGGATTGGCTCTTTCCCAGCCTGAAGACGCTCAGCGCTTTGGCCCTCCTCCCTCTCCAGACTCTCTGGGAGTTCCCTGGCCCTCCCCAACCCACAGGTCCAGCCCCACTGCTTGGGTCTCTGACTCCACTCCCCTCCCCACTCCACTCTCCTCCACTAGGGTCAACCTTAGCCTCTGTTAGGAGCCACCTGCCCAGTTGCCGGCTCCAGCCCACAAGACTGTTTCCCTCCACCTAAGTTGGAGTTTTTGCTCCAAACCATCTCGAACCCAGAGATGAGCCATCCATCCAGAGGCCTCTAGCACTGCCTGGAAGCCTGAACCCCCATCCACCACCTTCATCCTTGGGGGCCCATTTGGAAGCCTTCAAGTGACAGCCAGGTCCTTGGGCAGCATTCTGGTATTTTAACACCTGTGAGAGGCTTTGGTTGACCAAATCTTTTCAAGTAAGGGATCCTCAAGGGAAAATAAGGCCTGAAGCATGAGGCTTCCCTGGTGGTCCAGTGATTAAGAAGAGAAGTCTCTCAGTGGTGTCTGACTCTTTGTGACCCCATGGGCTGTGGCCCACCAGGCTCCTCAGTCCATGGGATTTTCCAGGCATGAATACTGGAGTGGGTTACCATTTCCTTCTCCAGAGGATCTTCCCGACCCAGGGATCGAACCCGGGTCTCCCTCATTGTAGGCAGACGCTTTACCGTCCAAGCTACCAGGGAAGCCCAATCCACCTGCCAGTGCAGGGAAATCAGGTTTGATCTCTGATCCAGGAACATCCCATGAGTCTTGAGGCAACTAAGCCCCCACGCCACAATTACTGAGCCGGCGCTCTGGATCCCGCAAACTGCAGCTATGGAGTCTGTGTGCTGCAACTACTGAAGCCTGCTTGCCCTAGAGCCTGTGCTTTACAACAAGAGAAGCTACAACAGTGATAAGCCCATGCACCGCAACTAGAGAAAGCCCTCACACAGCAATAAAGGCCCAGCACAGCCTGGATTCTTTACCAGCTATCAGGGAAGCCCCAGCACAGCCAATAACAAATAAATAAATATTTTTTAAAAGTAAAAGTCCTGAAGCATGAAGGGTGGCTATGGATCCCCAGGAGGGCAGGGCTAGGCTGAGGGTAAGACCCAAAGTAGGGTGGATAAGGTGAATGGCGGGTGGATACCCATCCCTACACACACACACACACACAAAACCATAGACTATCAAATGTCAGTGTGCCTTAGAGCTTCCACTCCAGTAGTGGTTTTCAAAGTGGGAAGGAGAGGATAGCTGCTCCTGGTTCTGGCACCCCATCACCCACCCAGCCCTCTAATCTACTTTCCCAGTTGCCTGGTTCTCATTCACCTGTACATTAGAATCCCGGGAGCTTTAGCAGCACCTTGCTTCCCAGGCCCACCCTAGCTGATCAGAATCTCTGGGCTGTGACCTGATATACTCACATCTAAAGAGCTCCCCATGTCAGCAGCCCAGGCTATCAAATGCTTGATCTCACCGAACCAACTAGCATACTGAACAAACAACAGCGCTGCTGTTCACTCGAGCCTACCTTTGCTCTTCAGTTGGATTATGTTCATCTCCGGATCTCCTCTTCCCACCCCACCAGCTTTTATATAAAGGATATAAAGGGAAGGAACCAGATTTCTGAACACTTGCTTTGTGCCAGATGGTTTTTATACCCACTCTTATTTCATCCTCACAGCAGTTTTGAATAGTTGGTGTTCTGATCCCCATTTATAGATGAGAAAACTGAGAACCAGAGGGAAGATGTCACCCACCCGGGGTCACAGTGAATGAGTAGAGGAATAAGGATTGGGTCCCCTTCCAAAGCCATGGGATTTCCCAGGGCTGAGTGCAGAGACACACCCATGTCAGCAGCAGGTCCCTCGAGCTCTGTCCTGAACCCCAGCTCTTCAGAGAAGAGCCCTAAGTCAGAAGCCCCAGGTACCAACTCATCCCCCATCTTGCCTTGATTTCCTGCCTGCTGTTTTCCAGATCCACAGAATTGTCATCCAGGGAGTTGACGCTGTGGGGGAGATAATGGAGCTCAGATGGTTGGCAGGCCCAATCCAGCCTGTCTCTGGCCAGCAACTTCCGCTACCACCATCACCACCATATCCATCACCACCATCACCACCACCACCACCACCACCATCACCACCACCACCATCACCACTTCCACTACCACCATGTCCATCAGCACCATTACCACCACCATCACCATCACCACTACCTCCATTACCACCACCATCACCATCACCACACCATCACCACACCATCACCACACCATCACCACCACCATCACCACTTCCACTACCACCATGTGCATCAGCACTATTACCACCACCATCACCATCACCACACCATCACCACCATATCCATCACCACCATTACCACCACCATCACCATCACCATCACCACCACCACCATCACCACTTCCACTACCACCATGTGCATCAGCACTATTACCACCACCATATCCATCACCACCACCACCACCACCATGTCCATCACAACCATTACCACCACCATCACTGTCACTATCACCCTTTCCAACACCATGACTTATTACTACCAACCAGCCTGGCTGTCAGGGGGCACTACTCACCTGATGTGGTCCAAGTCGCTGGAGGAAGATTGGGATTCAAAGCCCAGGTCCTTGGCGGGGAGGTTCAGCATGGGATTAGCCCTGGAGAGAAGGCCCAGTCCAGTAACCATGGGCTTAACCACCCCATGGGGCCTCTTCCCCACCCTTTGATCCCCGCTTACCTCTCAGTGTTGTACACGTTCGTCCCAGGGATGGCAGAGCCTGGGGGCATCACCCCCACCGCTGTCTTCCGGGCCTCCTTGGCAGCTTTCATAGCCCGAAGCTTCCGCTGGTAGCTATGGGGAACCCGGAAGGGGAGGTCACTACTTTCCCTGTTCACCTACTGTGTGCCCAGTACAGGCCCTGAGAGTGTGATTTCACCACAACCTGGCTGGTGGAGGGTGAGAACCACAGAAGGGAAATCATTGCTGAAGACCACACAGCTGATCAGTGGCAAAGCCTAGAATCACACCCAGATATGGCTACTGCCTCCATATGTATTAGAAAGGGTGAAAGAAGCAACATTTATTAAATGCATACATGTGCCAGTGCACCTGTCCCCAAGTCAGGCCACTGCCAACCCACTGTCACCCTCAGGCACTGGCAGCAGCAATCCTCGGAGGGGTATGTTGGCATAAGTCCTTCTGCAGTTTGCTTTTAGCCTTGCCTTAGAGTTCCCTCGTGGCTCAGACGGTAAAGCGTCTGCCTACAATGCGGGAGACCCAGGTTCAATCCCTGGTCGGGAAGATCTCCTGGAGAAGGAAATGGTAACCCACTCCAGTATTCTTGCCTGGAAAATCCCATGGATGGAGAAGCCTGGTAGGCTACAGGCCATGGGGTCGCAAAGAGTCGGACACAACTGAGCAACTTCACTTTCACTTTAGAGCCTGTAGACTCCAGGACTGGGCCACCTCAGGCCAAACAACTAACAGGAAGGGAGCACCCCACCCATCAGCAGAAAATTAGATTAAGGATTTACTGAGCATGGCCCTGCCCAACAGAGGAGACCCAATTTTTCCCACAGCCAGTCCCTCCCATCAGAAAGTTTGCACAAGCCTCTTACCTTCTTCCATCAGAGGGCAGACAGAAAAAGCAAGAACTACAGTCCCACAGCCTCCAGAATGAAAACCATAATCGCAGAAAGCTAACCAAAATGATCACATGGATCACAGCCTCGTGTAACTCAGTGAAACTATGAGCCATGCTATGCAGAGTCACCCAAGACAGACGGGTCATGGTGGAAAGTTCTGATGAAACATGGCTCACTGGAAAGGGAATGGCAAACCACTCCAGTATTCTTGCCTTGAGAACCCCATGAACAGTATGAAAAGACAAAAAGATATGAATAACACTAGAGGATGAGCCCCACCAGATTGGTAGGTGTTCAAAAAGCTACCAGGGAAAAGTGAAGAAATAGCTCCAGAAAGAATGAAGAGGCTGGGCCACAGCACAACTGGCACTCAGCTGTGGATGTGTCTGGTGGTGAAAGTAAACTCCAATGCTATAACGAACAATATTGCATAGGAACCTGGAATGTTAGGTCCATGACCATGGATGTGGTCAAGCAGAAGATGGCAAAACTGAACATCGACATTTTAGGACTCAGTGAACTAAAATGGATAGGAATGGACATATATAAGGGCAAGAATCCCTTAAAAGAAATGTAATAGCCCTCATAGTCAATGAAAGGGTTCAAAATGCGGTACTTGCATGAAATCTAAAAAAAAAAAAAAATAGTATGATCTCGGTTTGTTTCCAAAGCAAAACTATTCAACATCACAGTAATCCAAGTCTATACCACAACCACTAATGCCACAGAAGCTGAAGTTGACCAGTTCTATAAAGACCTACAAGACCTTCTAGAACTAACAAAAAAGGGTGTCCCTTTCATCATAGGAGACTAGAATGCAAAGGTATGAAGGCAGGAGATACCTGGAGAAACAAGCAAATTCGGCCTTGGAATACAAAATGAAGCAGGGCAAAGGCTAACAGAGTTTTGCCAAGAGAACACACTGGTCATAGCAAACATCCTTTTCCAACAACCTGAGTCATCCAAGAGAGGACTCTACACATGGACATCACCAGATGGTCAATACCAAAATCAGATTGATTATGTTCTTTGCAGCCAAAGATGGAGAAGCTCTCTACAGTCAGCAAAACCAAGACCTGGAGCTGTGGCTCGGATCATAGGCTCCTTATTGCAAAATTCAGGCTTAACTTGAAGAAAGTAGGGAAAACCACTAGACCATTCAGATATGACCTAAATCAAATCACTTATGATGATACAGTGGAGGTGATGAGTAGATTCAAGGGATTAGATCTGGTAGACAGAGTGCCTGAAGAAATATGGATGGAGATTTGTAACACTGTACAGGAGGCAGTGACCAAAACCATCCCCAAGAAAAAGAAATGCAAGAAGGCAAAGTTATTGACTGAAGAGGCCTAACAAATAGCTGAGAAAAAAAAGAGAAACTAAAGGCAAAGGATAAAAGGAAGGATATACCCATCTGAATGCAGAGTTCCAGAGAATAGCAAGGAGAGATAAGAAAGTCTTCCTAAGTGAACAACACAAAGAAATAGAGGAAAACAGTAGAATGGGAAAGACTAGAGATCTCTTCAAGAAAATTAGAGATACCAAGGGAACATTCCATGCAAAGATGTGCAAAATAAAGGACAGAAATGTCAAGGACCTAAAAGAAACAGAAGAGTTTAAGAAGAGGTGGCAAGAATACACAGAACTCTACAAAATGGTCTCAATGACCTGGATAAGTACAATGATGAGATCACTCACCTAGAGCCAGACATCCTGGAGTGTGATGTCAAGTGGGCCTTAGGAAGCATTACTATGAACAAAGCTAGTGGAGGTGATGGAATTCCAGCTGAGGTATTTCAAATCCTAAAAGATGATGCTGTTCAAGTACCCCACTCAATATGTTAGCAAATTTGGAAAACTCAGCCAAAAGTGGCCACAATACTGGAAAAGGTCAGTTTTCATTCCAATCCCAAAGCAAGGCAATAGCAAAGAATGTTCAAACTACCGTACAATTGTGCTCATTTCACACGCTAGCAAGGTAATGCTCAAAATCCTTCAAACTAGGCTTCAAAAGCATATGAACAAAGAACTTCCAAATGTACAAGCTTGTTTTAGAAAAGGCAGAGGAACAAGATACCAAACTGCCAACATCCATTGGATCATAGAGAAAGCAAGGAAATTCCAGAAAAACATCTACTTCTGCCACATTGACTAAGCTAAAGCCTTTGACTGTGGATCACAACAAACTGTAGAAAATTCTTAAAGAGATGGGAATACCAGACCACCTTACCTGCCTCCTAAGAAACCTATATGCAGGTCAAGAAACAACAGTTAGAACAGTTAGAACAATGGACTGGTTCAAAATTGGGAAAGGAGTACATCAAGACTGTATATTGTCACTCTGCTTATTTAACTTATATGCAGAGTACATCACGTGAAATGCCAGGCTGGATGATTCACAAGCTGGAATCAAGATTGTTGGGAGAAATATCAACAACTTCAGATATGCAGATGATACCACTCTAATGGCAGAAAGCAAAGAGGAACTAAAGAGCCTCTTGATGAAGGTAAAAAGAGGAGAGTGAAAGAAAGCTGGCTTAAAACTCAGTGTTCAAAGAATGATGATCAAGGCATCCAGTCCCATCACTTCATGGCAAATAGATGGGGAAAAAGTAGAAACAGTGACAGATTTTATTTTCCTGGGTTCCCAAATCACTGTGCACAGTGACTACAGCCATGAAATTAAAAGATGCTTGCTCCTTGGAAGAAAAGCTATGACCAGTCTAGACAGCATATTAAAAAGCAGAGACATCACTTTACTGACAAAAGTCTGTGTAGTCAAAGCTATGGTTTTTCCAGTAGTCATGTATGGATGTTAGAGTTGGACCATAAAGAAGGCTGAGCACCAAAGAATTGATGCTTTTGAACTGTGATTCTGGGGAAGACTCTTGGGAATCTTGGAATCCAAGAAGATCAAATCAGTCAATCCTAAAGAAAATCAACCCTGAATACTCTCTGGAAGGACTGATGTTGGAGCTCCAATACTTTGGCCACCTGATGCAAAGAACTGACTCATTGGAAAAGACCCTGATGCTGGGAAAGATTGAAGGCAGGAGGAGGAGGCAACAGAGGATGAGATGGTTGGATGGCATCACCGACTCAATGGACATGAGTTTGAACAAACTCTGGGAGATAGTGAAGGACAAGGAAGCCTGGGGTGCTGCAGTCCATAGGGTCGCAGAGAGTCAGACACAACTGAGTGACTAAACAACAACATATACCAGATATCTGCTGTTATGAGACTCACATGGATCCCTGAAATGCTTTGGGGAATCTAGCCTCAAGCCTGTTCTGCAAATGAGGAAACTGAGGCTTGGGGAGGGGAGATGACCTACCCAAGGGATCATAAGGAGTCACTGGGGATTGAATATAGATGTACCTGACACCTAAGCCCCAGGTCTTTCTACCCCTAGATATCTTGGGTGGTGAGGGAGGGGAGGTTGGAGACACAGAGGGTGATGGGAGCAGCACCTCTTCTGGGTACACATGACGATCGTGCTAAAGATCACGATGACCAGCAGCAAAGCCACTCCCAGTCCTATGGTGACGTTGCGGAGCGTGTCCGGTGACTCCGACTCTAGGCTCTCCTGGGAGCCCTGGAGAAGAAGGAGTGTGATGGGAGGAGGCTGTGGGGTCAGTCTCCCGCCTCCCTGCTCCCCCATTACCTCTGTCCCACCAACACTCACCAGTACCACCAGCCCCAGCTGCAGCAGCTGCGTCAGGGAGTCCTGGTCATTCCGGATCATCCTGGCCACAAAGCTCCACTCAGGCCCAAGGGACATTGGCATCCCCCAGGCTTCTTGCTTACCCTCCAGCCCATCCCAAGGGCAACCCCACTCACACACTCAGCTGGTCAAGGGTCAAGGCCGACCCATTTGAGAAGACAAAATAGGCATCGAGGTAGGAACGTCCTCGGGCCCTGGAATGGGGCAGAGGTGAAGCTTGCAGCCCGGGACCACCCGGCCACGCCCCTGCTGCTGATCCTCTCTTCCTTGCCCCATCCACCGAGTGGGCACTCACCGAACCTGGGAGTCTATGTCCTGAATGTTCACAATGTAGACAGTGGTCCTGGTTGCCTGAGCAAGAGCCCTGCAAAGGGGGCAGATATCACGGAGGGCCGGGGTAGGGACCTTAGCCCAGGCCTGTGGCCAGGGCTCTGCCAGTGAAATTAGGGATTGTGAGGGTCACCTCCTCTGGACAGCTCCACTGGCTAAGCAAGTAGCACTCTTGCACAAATTAGACAAGGAAGCCACTTTCTTTGGGGCCGGGTTTATAGTTTAGCAAGCAGAGTGCCCTTGTGTAGTGCACTGCCTTTGCAACTGGATGTGGCAGGCCTATTTAGGCCTGTCTCTGCCCAGCCAACCATAGGCTTCTGGGGGCATGCAGAAGGGAAGTGCAGGTACCGTTATAGGGTCAAAGACAAGGACCAGATCAAATGTGGATCATGGACAGTGTTGAGAGATATTCCATTCAGATTTCTGTCAGGGACTAGGCTCCCAAGCCCTGTTCTTCCCCACAGGCCACCCACCCCCTGGCTCCCCAGACCTACGCCTTAATCTCATCCGTTTTGGCGCCCACCTCCTCCTTGCTCAGTGAGAACTGCAGCCTCACACGGTAACTCTGGTCCACGGTGAAGAGCTATGGGAGGGGTGCATGGAGAAGATGAGACACAAGGGACCCCGGGGCTGGCAGAGGGCACTGGGAACCGAATCAGAGCCGAACACTCACGTTTAGGGTGATTCTGGCTTCCTGGGCAAGACCCTCAGAAGGCTTGTCTTGGGCCTTGACCGTCACTTGGTAGGTGCCTTGGAGAGTGGAATCAAGGCTGGTCACCAGGCTATGGAAGGTAGGAGGGCATCACTCAGTTCTGAAACCCAAGCTGGAGTCCTCTCGGAACCCCCTTGGACCCCTCCTAGGATGGGGAACTCCCTGCCCCGAGGCCCCGCTTGGCTCCCCCACCCCTATCTAAGAGCTGCCCGCAGTTACTCAATGTTGCCAGTGAACACGCTAGCCTCCGAGGAAGTGGAGATCCGGAAGAAGCCCTGGAAAGGGATCACGGCCCCGTCTTTAGAGATGAAATCCACTTGGAGGATGGAGAACAGAATGGCCCCATTGTTTCCTGAGTCGTCATCTCTGGCCTGGGAGCAAGACAGAGTAAACAAACTCTGGGGGCTGGGCCAGGCCAGGCACCCCCTCCAGCCCCAGCAGGAATCTGAAGCTAGGGTCGCCTGGGAGCCTGGCCCCGCCATGACCTCTATTGGCCTTCCCCAGGCCACTGACCAAATGCTTTAAACAAACAGGGTTTGAACATGTCCCTGCTTCAACTCAACAGGTCACTGCCCAGGTCCCTCCCAGGTGGAAGGTCCCCCCTCTCACTGCCAACACGCACAAACCTAGGGACACCCAGTTGTCCTGAGCACCTACTGTGTTCCAAGCACCTTCCCCCAGAGCCCTCCTTTCAGCGCACGCTAACAAGAGTATGAATTCCCCCAGCGGACCGTGAAATGAGGCATTTTTATTCACTCTAGTGCCTTTCGGAGAAGAATACGACCAACACACAGAACTGTGAGGCCGCTGATGTCACTGTTCAGGATGAGGCCAGAGCTGGTGTTGACGTTTCAAAAGGGAGTTAATTTAAAGAAAATTGTTCAAAGCTAGGGCCACACTCCTGATGTTGGAATGAACGTCTTCAGCCAGGGCTGAAGATTGGAAAACTGACCGTTTGAGCCTAGAAAGAACCTAGAGAGGGAGAATTGCATGCATGCGTGTATGCTGGCTTCAGTTGTGTCCAACTCTCTGTGACCCCAAGGACCGTAGCCCGCCAGGCTCCTCTGTCCATGGAATTCTCCAATGGGTTGCCAATTCTCCTCCAGGGGATCTTCCCAACCCAGGGATCAAACCCACATCTTTATGTCTCCTGCATTGGCAGGTGGGTTCTTTACCACTAGCTCCACCTGGGGAGCCCCAGAAGGGGAGAATTACTATTCCGCTTTTATGGGAGGACACTGGGGTTCTGAGAGAGACCCGTCCTACCCAGGGCACATTCGACTGTAAGTGGGGAGGGCCAGACCCATCCATTTCCACACCCATGCCCTTTCCATAATTCAAGGAGCGCCACCCACATATAAAACACCTGAACCCTAAGGAGTTACTGCCAAGGGCCGACAGCTTCTTGTCTGGATGGGAAAATGAGCTCCAAAAAGGCACAGCAGCTCCCCAGCTCAGTTAAAAGGCCTGGCCAGGCCCAGGCCCCAGGACTGTGGGGGAGGCCTCAGCCCCCACCCACTACGGGCACAGCCACCACTCTCTAACAAACACATCCACTGCCATTAAAATTGAAAACATTTTTGCAGCTTGCTCTGGAAATTATTTAATATGAGGAACTTGTTTAATTTACAGTTATTGTGATTTCTCTGTAATAGTCCAGAATTCTGAAGAAAAGCACTGCAAGTGGTTTTTAGGGTCATGAATTTTTTATGAATACCACATTTAACAATTAATGGAGTTTAATGATATCAATTAAGCAGGTGGTTCATTTCCATTCCGGAGAGTTAATACATTTTCTTTCCAGTGTTAAAACATTTGGAGGATGGCTGAAAGACCTAAAGGCCTAGGCCCCTTGTCTGCTGGGGCTAATGTGACTGACAAAGGCTGGAGCCAAGGACTTACCTGGACAGACGCCACCTGCTGGTTGGGCATTACGAGTTCTGGGATAATCACTGCAAGTGTAGACAGGAAGAGGTCAGTGGCATCAGGGCCAGTGCCCGCTTGGCCAAGTGCTGATCATAAGCACTTGGATGAGCTCGGGGCTCATCCCTCCAAACCTGCCCTTAAGCTCTCTACTGCCAGATCCCCATTACTGCTACCCCTGAGCCGCTAGTAGCAGGTCCTCCACCTCCCATTGTGCAGATGGGGAAACTGAGGCCCAGAGAAGGAAGGCCGGGCCCAGGGTCAGATGTGAGTTGGGACAGAGACAGAGTGAAACCTCAGGTCTCTCCTCCTGTTGAATCCCTGAGAGAGAGGCAGGGCTGGAGGCCTTCCTCCCTTTCCAGGGGCACACCTGGGGTCTGAGCAGCATCTGTGGGAGTTGCCCAAAGGTAGCTCTAGCAGAGTAAAGTGTGGGTGGGGAGGGAGGGGCTTGCAGCTTACCGAAAGTCTTATCCTCAGGCAGAAAGTAAGGGGCATTGTCATTCACATCCTCGATGGTGATGGGGAGGCTTCCTAGAGGGAAAAGATTGGCTGGCTTTGGTTTCTAAGCAAAGACTTGACCCACAAAGCCTGGTCCTCAGGCTTGTTCCCAGCAGCCTCCCTCCCATGCATCACCCATGCTCAGTCTCCTCTCCTACTAACTCAGTCTCCTCTGGCCTTTGTAGGAGGGAGCATCCTCCCCAGACCTCAGAGAGGATAAGCAAACTTGTCCAAAGTCACACAGTGAGACCACTGGGCCAGGACTGAGCCCAGCCCAGGTATGTCCCACCTGGCCACAACATTATTCTGACCCTGGTTAGCTGTGTAAGCTAGATTACTGAACTGCCCACTCTGTACCTCAGTTTCCTCATCCATAAAATTGGCTAGGGATCACCTACCACATGGACTGTGTGGGAGTAAAATGGTGAAATGCTTGCAAGGTGCCTAGCATAGGCTGGGCTGTAGTAAGGATTCAATATATGCTGGCTGCTAATGTGACTGTTATTGCCAATTGGTGTCAGAGGTGGGATCTGAGCACACACCTGGCTCTGAAGTGTCTCTTTACACTGCCTCTCAGCATCACAGCATTAAGTGCTAAAGTCCCTTGGACAACAAGGAGATCAAACCAGTCAATCTTAAAGGAAGTCAACCCTGAGTACTCATTGGAAGGACTGATGCTGAAGCTAAAGCTCCAGTATTTTGTTCATCTGATGCAAACAGCCAACTCATTAGAAAAGACCCTGATGCTGGGAAAGATTGAAGGCAGGAGGAGAAGAGGGAGTCAGAGGATGAGACGGCTGGATGGCATCACCAACGCAATGGACATGAACTTGGGCAAATTTTGGGAGATGGTTAGGGACAGGGAGGCATGGCGTGCTGCAGCCCATGGGGTCACAAAGACTAAGACACGACTGGGCAACTGAACAACAACAGCATGCCAAGCACTGCACTCGATGCTTTCCATACATATTCTCATTTACTCTTCACAGCCAACCTACTACCCAACTCCACTTGACCGACGGGGCAACTAGAGCTCAGGGCAGTGTCGTGACTTTCCCAGGGGTACAGCTGGTAGGGGCTGGAGCCAGGATTTGAACCCAGACCTTACAAATTCCAGTTCTTCCCCACAGCCCCTGGGTTATAGCCTGCTGCACCCCGCAGGCCAGGCTGCCTCACCATTGTCACTGTAGGCCTGGAAGCGGGGGTCTGTTGTGACGTCATAGGCTCGCACGACCAGCGTGACCAAGTCACAGGTCTCATAGTCGATGGCCTCACTCTGGTTGATGAACACCGAGCCATTGGCCAGCACAGAGAACCAGCCGCGGCACAGGCTGCCCACGTCAACTCCAGCCTTGGTGCAGATGACATTCACAAGCTGTACCTCCACCTGGGACATGGTGTCCCTGTCCTGGGCCACCACATTGACCAATATGCCGTGCTGTGAGCCATTCTCAGCCACCCGGACACCCTGGAGCGAGGCTGAGTCCAGGGTGGGTGGCACATCATTCACATCCTCCACAGTCACAAGGACTTCTGCTGTAGCCTCACGCCCCTGCGCATCCGTGTTCTCGGCGCTCACGATCAGACTGAAGGAGGCCTGTGTCTCATAGTCCAGGCTCACATCCGAGGGCAATGAGAGGCGGCCCACTGCCTGCCCAGACCCCAGCACCGAGCCTCGCACCATGAAATTGTTGGCGCCGCTCCCTGACAGGCTGAAGCTGATGCGGTTGTTGGCTTCTGTCTGGTCTGCATCCCAGGCCTCCACCACGCCCACCTGCACTCCTGTGGATGAGGGGCAGAGTGCAGAGGGACCCCCAGCCTGGCCACCACTGGGGGCATCCTCTGTCCTCACCCCCCTTGGGGGCCTCAGGCCTGCCCTTGACTTACCCAGGGAGCCCCAGAGAGGACTTACCTGGGTCTCTCTCCCTCACCGAGAAGGAATATCTGGACTGGTTGAAGATGGGCAGATTATCATTGATGTCCTGCAGACAGAGGCAGTTCTGAGCCCAGGGAACTCAGGCTCCCGGGTTGGGCCTCCCCAGACACAGCCTGAGAAGCCAATATTTCCCCTGACCTGCAGTCCATTCTCTCTGTCCATTGCCTCAGACAGTGCTGCCCACTTCAGAGATGATGAAACAGACTTCAAGAGGACAGAACTAGCCCAGACCCCACCCCCCGGGGCTCTGAGGTCCATGGCGGGCCCTCTGAAGCTGGGTGCACACTTTGTTCCCCTGTCCACCACTCACAGCTATCTTAGACCCTGCTCTCCAGAAGGATGGCTCTACATCCCCACCTGCATCCCTGCCTGGCCCAGCTTGACTCCCCATCTCTCGGATTTACTGTGTTGGTCCCAGTACCACCATGATCCCACAAATACCCAAGTTTTTCATGGTCCCCTCCTTTCTCCTGTCCCTCCTACCCTTAGCTGACCCCACAACACTCACTCTGAGCTCAGGTGGGGAGGCGCTGGGGGCATATGCCAGGGCTTGACCTGGTCCTGCCCTCAGATGCCCACTGCATTCTGTTCTCATCTTCCCTTTCCGGTGACCTCTCTGGTCACCCACACAGAGTGCTGTCCCTGTCACAGCACCAGGCCAACTCCGCCTGCACCTCCTCCCCTGACGCTGGTGCATGCTGAGTGCTCTTGGCTCTCCCAGTTCTTCCCCAGGGCGGCCCATGGACTTTTGCTTTCGGCATTTTCTAAATAACAGTAGGACGGACATCTTTGAAAACCAGAGCCCTCTCCTTCTTAACCAGATGGAATTTCTGATGGAGATTTCCCAGAGATGGCGTCACTGCCCCATGCCCATGGCCAGCTGCATTCTCAAGGTCGTCCTCACAGGAGGAGCTATGAACGCAGCTCCGAGTTCCGCCCGGCTCTACCTCTTCCTCGTGTGTGACTCTGACCTCTCTGGGCCTCAGTGTCTTCGTCTGCACATTGGGGGCGTCATCCCTACTCACAGGGCTCATGGGTGTGAAAGAACCCTGATGGCTCAAGAAAGGCTGTTTTGCTTTTTTTTCATTCTTTGTGGCCTATTCTCCCCCGCCCCCAAAGACAGCTGGTAAGTCCTCACCTGGCATCTGTTTCTCTGTTTTCCCTGCTGTCTCATTCTGATCCTTGTAGGAAAGTGTCACATCCCAGCCCAGTGGGAAACAGGCTACTGTGTACAGTGGCACAGGCTGTGCACTGCATAACCCAAGGGGGCACCAACCACATCGTGGACATAAGGTGCTTGTGACCGGGCAGCAGCCTTAGAACCAGACAGACTGGATTCAAAGCCCCATTCTGTGACCCAGGCAAGCAACTGAACCTCTGTGCGCCTTAGTTCTTTGATCAATATGATGGCGCTAACCCCCACTGCCTCGCAGGGCCCAGTGTGCCCCGAGTGTTTCCTCCAGGCCAGGCATTCTTTGCAACACTTTCCATTGATTACCTAATGTTATTTTGACCCCCATTTTACAGATGAGGAACTTGAGGACACAGGCAGGCTGACTGATTGCCTAAGGTTACACAGCCAACGAGCCAGGACTCTAACCCATCAGCTTGTCTCCAGAACTCTTTTAGCCACCATACTGCAAGGGCAGAAATGTGATTTGACTGGGAAGCAGGGAGAACGGGCCACCTTCTCGGGAGCCTCCCAGTACGGGGTTCATCCCAAACCCCGTCCCCGGCTGAGCCGGGCCTTACCTCCACGGTGATGGTGACACTGACAGTGGTCCAGAGCGCAGGTTCGCCAGAGTCAGACACGTTCACGGTCAGCACGACGCGGCCCCCCAGAGCAGGGTCGATGGCCTCTCGGTCCAAGGGCCCCAGGTTTCTGAGGATGCCTTTGTCGGGGTCCACTGAGAAGTTGTGGCTGTAGGGGCTGGGCAGGAGGCTGAAGTGCAGCAGGCTGTTGTTGGTGTCTGGCTGGTCATCGTCGTGAGCCTGGGCAGGTGAGCAGGGTTGGGACGCCCGCCATTAGGTGCTTGCCCACCCTTGGGCTTCCCCCTCCTAAAATCAGAGGGCGGCTCCCCAATTCCCAGACCCTGTCTCCCAGCTAAGAGGACAGGACCAACAAGAGCTTGCAAGAGCTTCTAAGGTCTTAAACACTGAGGTCATTCCTTCAGCCCACACAGGTTTACCTACCACGTGCCCAGCCCTGTTCTAGGTACTGGGTCTAGAGCTGTGATCAAGACAGTTCCTGTATGGAGCTGACATTCTAGCGAGGTGAGAGGTGTGGGGGCAACATACTACAGGCAGTCAAAAGTAAAAATAAACCAACAGAAATGTGTGTAGGGGAATTCCCTGGTGGCCTGGCGGTTACGATTCTGGACTTTGCCTCCTGGAACCCAGATTCACTCTCTGGCTGGGGGGGTGGGGCAGACCGAGATCCCACAAGCCACGTGGTGCAGCCAAAAAAAGGAAGTGTGAAGTCCAGCAAGGTTCTGATTCATCAGGACTACTTCGTTGCTTTATTTTTTTTTAAGTAGCTGAAATTCTTCACCCAATCTGTGTGTGTCTGTATTCCTGTCCTGCCAGGGTCCTGAGCACACGCTTGGTTGCCTGTAGGGTGACAACACAGAGAGCACAAGAGGCTCTTTCCTGCCACCAGGGCTTTGCGCGCGCACACGAATGTCCTCTACACCTTTTCTGCTTGACTCCAGGTCAGGTTGGTCCCTCCGCTGGGCTTCCACCACCCCTGCGCCACCTTCCATACAGCACAAGTGACACCCTTGTGTGATGGTCTGCCACCCTCCCTGGAAGCAGGAATTATGGTGAATTCATCTCGGACGACTCAGGGCTCTGCAAAGGGCCTGTTGCATGTAAGTGCTCAGTAAATGTGGCTTTGAATCCAGAGCCAGGCTAGTCTGACTTGGACCCAATTCTTTCATCTCCTCCCTGCATAGTGCCACCTTCAGCTCTTTTTGTTTCAGATGTGTCGGGATCTTGTTCAGGAAATGAAAAACTGGTTGTTCATCCCTCAGTGCTCTAAACTCAGGCCGGCTGATTCACCAAGCACTTCTCAGGGCTGAAACCAGGCACCATGGTTCCAGCAGCAGATCTGAGATGCTCCTGCCCCAGACAGCTCTCAGACCAGGGTGAGAAGCATTGAGGTGCATGAGAAAGACCCAGGTTTCAGCACTGCCACTGACCGGCTGTACAACCACAGAAAAGTCACTTAACCTCTTTAAGCCTGTTTTCTCCTTCGGTGAAATGGGGACCATTAGAGCAGCTGCTTCACAAGGTCATCAAGAGATCATGAAACCACAAGCCCCAGAAAGATGGGAGGGCCCTGTAGCCATATGATTGTAACTCTGAAGACTTTGTTTCCTGCTTCTCACAAGACCTCCTTATAGATGATTCAGTGTAGGAGCTTCTCCCCCACATTCCTCTGGAGCCAACAGTTGGTTCTTATCTCCTAGTCTCTGAGAACCTGGCCACTGGCCTCATTTCCATTTTTGCTCTGGCCATTAAAAGAAGCTCAGAACTGAGTTTTCAGCCCTCTCCTAGCAATTGTATGGCTTCGGGTTTAACCCTACCTTTGTGCTTACACCGCCTGGTAGCTCAGATGGTAAAGAATCTCCCTGTGATGCAGGAGACCTGGGTTCAATCCCTGGGTCAGGAAGATCCCATGGAGAAGGGAATGGCAACCCACTCCAGTATTCTTTCCTGGAGAATTCCATGGATAGAGGAGCCTAGCAGGCTACAGTCCATGGGGTTGCATAGAGTTGGACACGATTTGTGTTTATTTTCTCTTTTTCTTCATTTATTTTATTATACTTTTAAATCTAAGCCACCCAAATCCTTTTTGGAGTGAGGCTGGGACCTGCATTTTAAAGAGCAGTGTGGTTTTTGAGGGCTCGCTCTGTGCTAGGAAGCACTTTATATCCTTTATGACAGCACTTTGTATCCTTTATATCCTTATGAATAAGTTCTATGATTGACCTCATTTTCCAAAGAAGAAATGGAGGCCCAGAGAGACTGAGTGACTTTCTCAGGCCCACACAGCAGAGCCCAGATTCCAGCACAGGGCCAGCATGGCCACAGAGCCAGGCTTGGTGTCCCGGGCCTGTTCCCTCCACACCCCACCGGTTTCAGGCCGGCTCGCACCTGGATGGTCACAGAGACACTTCCCTCCTCCTCCTGGGCAAAGATGTTGTAGGAGCCGCTGCCCACAGGGCTGTTATCATTGATGTCTAGCACGTGGATCTGTAGCATGGTCGAGGATGACAGGTCCCCACCATCCGTGGCCTGCAGCGTGAGGTAGTACACGGCCTGCTTCTCCCGGTCCAGCAGCTCGCTGTTTCTCACCGTCACCTGCCCCGAGTTTGGATCCACGGCAAAGATGTCCGCCCTGCGGCCAGATGGAGCGAAAAAAGATACATGATGCCCACTTCCATTTGAATTTCAGATAAACAATGAAAAGTATTTTAGGACGTCCGGTGGAATATTTGCAACCTACTTATACAGCAAGAAAAAAAATGAATAATTTGTTTATCTGAAACTGAAATGTAACTGGGTACCCTATATTTTATCTGGTTGCTCTAGCCCCACTGTGAGGCAGAGAGGCAGACCTGGGTCCCCCTTACCACCTGCCCCGCTCCCATCAGAGACATTACCCATTCCCTGGAAGCAGGCTGTAGGTGATGTGGCCCCCCTCGCCTGTGTCGGGATCGGAGGCCTGTGAGGCAGAGAGACAGGTAATGGGACACTGAGCAGAAGCCACGCCCTCACTGCCGACCGTGCAGTTGATGAGGACAGGGCAGCCCTGCTTCCTGAGCCGAAGGGAGAAGCCCCTGACACACTCAGACTGACACGCTCGCCCTCACACACTCACATGTACGTGCACGCTTGCTGGGATCCGATGAACCCAGATGATGCAGAGACTCTGGCAGGGACAGCCCCAGGCCTGCCCATCTCCACGTCTCTCCCAGTCCAGTCCACCCCTGTCCCCTCTCACTCACCTGGATGCTGTCGGTGACCACAGAGCCGACAGCACTGTGCTCAAAGACGCTGAGGTTGTACATGCTGTGGGGGAATGTGGGCCTGTGGTCATTGGTGTCTCGAAGGTGGATGGTCACCGAGGCGACAGAGGTGTTCCCGCTGACAGAGTCAGTGGCCGTGACCTAAGGACAGGGAAAGAGGCAGCGGCATGGGGGTGGGAGCGCCCCGTGGCCGGCTCCCCCTGGCGCCTCCGAGCACCCCTCACCTGCACCAGCATCACTGACTGCCTCTCGTAGTCCACCAGCGATGAGTCCCTCACCAGCACCTGCACATCCACTGAGCCCGCTGCCCGCTGCGGGGAGACGCTGAAGGCATCGACATCCGGGCCCCCCAGGGTCAGCAGGAAGGTGCCGTTGTTGCCCTGTAGAGGTGGGCTGTAATTAGGGACCCCACCCCTGCGTCTTCCTCCCAATCCCTGGCCACAGGCTCCGGGAGGGTGGACTGGTCACTAGTCCCTGTAGACGTGGGCTCGTCAGAAGAAGGCGGCCCTGAGGCACCGTGGGCCCCAGCCTGGGCTGCAAAGCTTGGACACACACCGCTCGCTCCCTCTGAGTCTTCCGTACCAGCCACCCTCCACCACGCACTCCAACACCAAACACCATCGGTGCCCAGCATCGGCCCATTACCTACACTCCCCTTCCACTCCAAGCCCCCTCCACTCAATGCCGACCGCAAACTCCACACACCACCCAACCACCACCACCGCCCAAATCATCCTCCACTCAGCATTCTGTATCAACTCATGTCACTACCACTGTATTCAGCATTCAGTACTACCCAAATCATCCACCACTCAATCCCAACCTCTCCCAAGAATACCTTCCAATTTGACACCCATTTAGAAGCGTCTGTGCCCAACACTTCCCACATCCTGCAATATCCAGTACTATCTCCCCTCAACTTCACCATCTACCCATCACTACCCTCTGCTCAACACCACCGAAAGTGACCTTCCACTCAACATTACCCAGCATCCTGCCTTTCTATTCCCCACCACTGAGCTCCGCCCTGAACACAAGACCTCCCACCAGCTCAGCATCACTCAGCAGTTCCAAATGTCACTCAAACTCTGATTGTCACCACCACTCATGGTCAGCATCACTGTCGCCCACTGCGACACTGCATACTATGGCCCGTGCTCTGCTGGTCACTCGCCACCTCCCCTCCCCAGAAATCCCCCATCATCACTTCCCCACCCTGCCTATGGTCTGGGTGTGCCTGCCTTGTCTGGGTCGTAGACCACCATGGTGAGGTCCTCAATGGGGATGCGCGTGGAGGCGTGCTCATCCACGTAGCCAGTGAAGTTGACTTGAGTCTCTTTGGGAGTGAAGGAGCAGGCTTGGAGGCTGCAGTTGTAAAACTCAGGGACGTGGTCATTGACGTCTGTCACTCTCAATGTGACCCATATGCTTGCCTTGGCCTCCTGCCCGTGGATGTTGGGGTGCGTCTCGGTGGCCTGAGAGCAGAGTTGAAGCCGGAAGGCAGAGGTCAGAGAACCAGCATCCCGAAAGAGCTGAGATCAAAGGTCAAAGTGGGGGTTCAGAGAGTGGGGGTGCAAAGGGGGCACTGGCCCCCTCACTCACCGTCACCTGCACTTGCACTTCCTCATCCTCCTCCAGGAGCTGCTCTCTGTCCAGGGGACTGTTGACCGTGATCACCCCATCTTGCTTGCCAATGTCAAACCAGCCAGGCCTTGTGGAATCTGGGAAGAGGCAGCAGGAGCGGCTCCTTCTGGTGGCCTGACGGAGCCCCCGCCCCTTCCCTTGCCCCAGCCCCAGCCTGGGGACACCCCGTTCTCACTGGAGATGCTGTAGATCACAGGGTCATTGATGCCTCTGTCGCCATCCATGGCCTCCACCTTCAGCACTGAGGTTCCCTGTGGGGAGGCACGGTCAGTAGCCAGACACTTTCCTACCTCTGGGCTCCCCCCAGCCCTTCCCCCAGGTGCCCAGCATACCTGGGGTGTATCCTCAGCCACAGAGGCTGAGTAAAACTCCCTAACAAACTGGGGGTCCAGGTCTGGCTTGTCGATTACAGAGATGGACACGAAGACAGATGAGGAGCACTGGACGACCTTGTGATTGTTGTACAGGCCGCCCGAGTCCTGCCGGGAGACGGGTCTCCATGAATCTGGGCCTCGGGTCCCCATGCCCCCAGCCCGCACCAGCGCCCCCACTCACACAGGCCTTCAGCTCCAGCTGATAGAAGGAACTCTTGCTGTTGTAGTTGAGGCTGCCATTGAGGATGATGGAACCATTGGGTAGGATCCTGAAGAGGTACTCACTGCCCTCCGTGGTAGGAACGACCTGAGACACAGCACAGTCAGGCCAGGCTGCCCCAGGATGGCTCTGCCCCTAGGACCTGCTCTCAGAGGCCTGGGGTCGAATCCTGGCTCTGCTCTTGACCTCACCAGGTCACATAACTTCTCTGATTCTCAGTTTCTGCCTCTGGGAAACGGGCGAGATACAGCCTCAGCACTCCAGGTGGGGGGGGAGAAGGGCTTGGTCTGCAGCAGGTACACTTCTTAGGCGACTGGGCCAAATGGGGCCAGAGTGGGGCCAGAGGATGGTGTGGGGACCAGGGCTGGGCCATGGCAGAGCTCCTGGTCTGCAAGGGCCCTGCAGGTTGTGTGGGAGATGCTGCCCCCTGGTGGCCACGAAGAGTGGCAGCGCCCACACTTGCACGTGGACCATACACACTCACTTTTTCTATGGAGTATACCACGGTGCCCGCCGAGCCTGTGTCTTTGTCCGTGGCCAGCACAGATAAGACCACGGAGCCCACCGGCAGAGTCTGTAACAAAAGAAAGTGAAAGTGAAGTCTCTCAGTGGTGTCCTACTCTTTGCGACCCCGTGGACTGTAGCCTACCAGGCTCCTCCTTCTGTGGGATTTTCCAGGCAAGAATACTGGAGTGGGTTGCCATTTCCTTCTCCAGGGGATCTTCCCGACCCAGGGATTGAACCCAGGTCTCCCGCATGGCAGGCGGATGCTTTAGCCTCTGAGCCACCAGGGAAGCCCCTCTGTAACAAAAGGTTTCATCAACTCTGAGTTCCAATCCATTTTCTTCATGCCCAAGCACATGCCCCCACCTGGAGTTCCAGGGCCCACAGCCCTACCACGGGGATGGTGACAGACCTTCCAGAACCTGAAGCCCAGTGTTCCACAGGTGACCCCCTTTCTTTCCCCCGGGCTGGGCCTCTGGGGGCATCTGGACATCGGCAGGAAGCAGAGTTCCCCCTTCTCCTCTCCTAGATGCAGCCCCCTCGCCACATGAATTAGCTTCTGATTTGCTGAGCCCCTCAGGGCCAGTATAAATGATCATTCCAGAAATCAGGTTTTGCCACTCTCCTGCTAAAACTTCCCTGTGGGTTCTTGGTAGCCTCCAGCCCAGGATGCAGACAGTACTCTGCAGAGCTGAAAGTTTCTTTCAGATGCCTTTGCCCCAGGACCTGTCCACACACTCACTAATTCCACAAGGTGGCCAGAGAGATCTCTGAAAATCCTGAACCAGACCACATCACTCTCATGCTCAAAACCCATCCAGTGGTTTCCCCATTCCACTCAGAATATAGTCCAGACTGCCTCCATGGCCCTGTGGGGTCAGGCCCACCTCTCTGACCTCACCTGTTCCTCACACTCCACCCTCCATCCACAGCAGCTCTCTAGCTATGCCTACAACACTCCAGGCTGATTCACACCTCAGAGCAGCTGCTATTCCCTGCCTGGAAAATCCTTTTCCTGGAGCAGCCCAGGAAGGCTCCTTGACATTTAGTTCTGCTCAGATGTCACCCACCCAGAGAAGACTTTCCTGACTGGTTCAACCTAAAAGCAGCCCTTTATGTTATTCATTGAGCACAACACCCTCTGAAATAATCCTGTCTGTTTAATGTTTTGTTCATTAGTGTCTGTGATCTTCACTACAATGTGAGCTACTGAGGGTGGCAACCAAGTCTATCGTCTCCGGATATCTTCAGCACCAAGGACAGTGCCAGACACATAGTAGGCATTCAATCAGAGCCTGTTGAAGGTCTGTCTGGACCTCACCAGCCTCTTATCTGGCCTGGGGGGTAGAGCACACCTCTCAGGTCTTTGAATCCACATAATAGTGAAGATTCAGGAGTGGTGTGTTACCTGCTTGCGGACCATTGGAGAACCTCCTCCCTGCCCATGCAGTTCAAGTCAGGCTGTCACCCTTGCTAAAGGGGAAGGCCCACGATGCAGACCTTGACAACTGGAGCATTCCACACCCTTCAATTGATGGACATATGCATGCTAGGTCGCTTCAGTCATGTCCAACTCTTTGTGACCCCATGGACTGTAGCCCAACAGGCTCCTCTGTCCACAGGATTTTCCAGGCAAGAATTCTAGAGTGGGTTGCCATTTCCTTCTCCAGGGGATCTTCCCAACCCAGAGATCAAACCTGTGTCTCTTATATCTGCTGCATTGCAGGTGGATCCTTTACCACTAGAGTCCAGTAAACAATGGTGGCACACGCACGTGACCCAAAATGAGTCAATGGGAGTCAGCCTGGGGTGTTGGTTGGGGCCACTGAGAAAGAGACAGTCTGTGTTGCATTTCAAAGCTAGTGGATGTGAGCCTGGAGCTGCTGGGGGGCACTTTCATCATCACCATGTAGGTGAACTTCTCCCCCAACCCAAGGATGAAGGCAACAAGAGGCACAGAGGTGCAAGGTGGAGAGAAATCTCTTCTTGATGACATGGCTTGAGTGCCTGGATCCAGCCATGTTTGAAGCCAGATATACCATTCAAGGGACTTCCCTGGTGGCTCAGATGGTGAAGTATCTGCCTACAATGTGGGAGACCTGGATTCAATCCCTGGGTCGGGAAGATCCTCTGGAGAAGGAAATGGCAACCCACTCCAGTACTCTTACCTGGAAAATCCCGTGGACGGAGGAGCCTGGTAGTCTACAATCCATGGGGTCGCAAAGAGTCGGACACGACTGAGTGACTAAACTTTCACTTTCTAACTTTCATACCATTCAAATGTGCAGATACATGAGAAAATCAATTTCTTCCTCTCCACCTGGGATGATCATAACTTAAAGAACTCCAATCCAGTGTGATGGATTGAAAAATGTTGCTGCAACTATTGTACATGGGGTTACACGCAACCCTCTGAATTTGGTTCTTGCGGCTGCCCTTTCTAGGAGGCACTCTTCCCAATCCTGGATGACCTGCTGACTGTCGCTGGTCCTTCCCACTCTGAGCAGATTTGTGGGATGCCTGCATTCTACACACCCACCCTGGTAAGGCAGACGTTACCTCACTGACGTTGGTGGAGAAGCTTATGCTCTGGAAAACGGGCGCATTGTCATTTCTGTCCTCTACGATCACCTGCATTTCTTTCTGTACCTGCATGTGAGAAAGCCCAGGTGAGCCGGAAAAACGTGGGAGTTTGAGAAAACTAAGTCAGGAGTGCCCGGACAGGAATGCAAGCTGGCAGAGCCTCTCAGGAGAACAATCAGGCAGTGTCTGGGGTGACTCTTTATTTGATACCATTTCAAATGCCAGAAAAGTTGCAAGCACAGAACAAAGAACTCCTGATACTCTTCATGCAGATCTACTCCTTGTTTAGTTTCCCTCTCTCTCTTTCCACATGTTTGCTGAACCACTGGAGAGTACATTAGGTCATTGAAGAAATCTAAAACATAGTGGTCTTATTACAAGAATGTTCCTTTTAGCTTTGTTAGCCACAGAATAAAGCTGTGAACAACCTAAGTGTTGAGGAGACCAGCTAAGCACCATGGTACGTCCCTACACTGGGCTATAGACATGCAGGAAATGGGACACTTGTGTGCAGACTCAGAAAGGCTCCAAAGCTGATTGTTGAGTGGGTAAGTCGGTTTAAGACCGTACAGGCAATAGGATTCCATTTGGGTTTAAGAAAATACACCAAAAACTACAATCTTTCTTCCACGGATGCATATATGTATGCCACTGCTTAGCAAGGGATAGACAACACAGTGATGATGGATACTTAAGTTGGGAGTGGGTTGGGAAGAGCAACCCAAGAGGGCTTGAGCTTTATCTGAACTTTTAAAAATGCTTACAGAGAAAGTATTTATGAATATCCAAGTCATCTTTTATTTTTTTTTTTCCAAATCATCTTTTAATGCGTAGGTTTTAAGGAATAGGTCATAAAGAGAAAACTTCCAACTTTCACAGACACAAGCTGTAACTTGTGTGTACAGCTTATGTGTACAGCTTACATGTAACTGTATAAGCGTGTTATTGAGAAACATGAACACTGAGAACAGCCCATTAGTCAAAGGAGTTGAAAATGATGATCTCAGTGGAGGGAAGGTAGGGAGTTATTTGGTATCTGTTTTCTTATTAATATACATATTAATATGAATTAATAATGCAATTCATGATAACAGTAGATATACAAATATACAAACAGTATATCTATAAACAGTAGATATGCAAAATAGATACACTATATATATATAAACATATGCATATAATTAAAACAAATTAATAGTAAATACTAAAATCTTGGTAATACTGTATGATGAAAAATGGACAAGTTTAATTTTGATAAAAATAAACATTCAATTTGTTTTTTGTTCACTGAGGCTTGCTCTGCTCCCCTGAGGTCGGGACACCACTAGCCGTGGCCCCTCGGTCCCTTGTTCTCTGAGCCCGGGACCATCACCCTTCGCTCCCCCTGCTGACTCACTCGGTTGTCGTGACTGTCGCTCACAAAGATGTTGATGGTGAACCAGTCGAGTGTCTGCAGGGGGCAGAGAGACAGGGACCAAGGTGAGCCCTGTTCGGGCGTCCACCAGGGCCCTCCCCACTCCCCACCCCTCACAAGGCCTTCCCAAGTTGCTTTCTTTACCTCATAGTCCAGAAGGCTGGCCAGCTTCACTTCCCCAGTATTTGAGGTGACACTGAAGAAGTAGGCATAGGAACCACTAATCCCGTATTTCAGCTCATCATTTTCTTGGTCCTGAGCTACCAGCCAGAAGGCCTCAGCACCTGGAGATGAGACAAGGAATGCCCAGGATCCACAGCCACCTAGTTCAATGCTGGCCTGTCCAAGCTGCCCATGAGGCCCGCAGGTACATTAACTTCTTTTGAAATTAGGAGGGCCAAGACATCAGTGGATGTCTATCAATGGATGAATAGATAAAGAAGGTGGTGGTATATATATATATGTGTGTGTGTGTGTGTGTGTGTGTGTATTTTGTACATTTTGTACAAAATGGAATATTTTCAGCCATAAAATAAAAGAATGAAACCTTGACATTTGCAACAATGTGGATGAACCTAGAGGGCATTCAGCTAAGAGAACTAAGTCAGAGGAAGACAAATATTGTTTGGTGATCTCACTCACACGTGGGATCTGAAAACAGAAATCCAAGTTCACTGATTCAGAGAACAGATCGTGGTTCCCAGACGTGGGTGAGGAGACTGAGCAATGGGTGAAGGGGGTCACAAGGTACAAATTTTCAGTTATAAAATAAATAAATCCTGGGGATATAATGTACAGCATGGTGACTATAATTAATAATACTGTATTGGGTATTCAAAAGTTGCTGAGAGAGTAAGTCTTAAAAGTTCTCACAGCAAGGGAAAAATATTCTGTGACTATGTGTGGTAACAGATATTAGCTAGACTTATTGGGGTAATTATTTTGAAATATATACAGATATATCAGTATGTTGCACACCTGAAGTTAATATCACGTTGTATGTCAATTATATCTTGTTCTTTTTTAATTACAAAGAGGCCCGCAAAGGCAGAAGTGCTAGAACGGTGACTGATGGTGGGGTCAGCCCACAGCCCGAGTGTCCCAGAGAACCAGCCTGCTCCCTCTTGCCCACGATGACCCTTCAGGGACAGTCTGGGCAACATGCCTGGAGCCTGCTCTTCTTTGATCAGTCTTGCCTCTTCCAGAAACTCCTTGGAAAGCTCGGTCTCTCCCCACCCAGGCCCCCTCCTCCAGGAAGACCATCGGGCTAGAAAAATGTTGGTGTCTACGTTGTGTTTCCTCTGCTGTGAGACACGCTGTCAATTTAATGCATGCTGGGATGAGGGTGGGCAGTCATTCTGTGTTAAGCGACTATCTCAACCATAAGATACATCCTGACTCAGAAATGTCAAGGTGTAAACTGATATGGCTCTTATACCCAAAGAAATATAGGAGGTGAGTGGGTGTATAAATCTTTCTCTGTACACGTGTCCATGGTCACAGAAAGATGTATCTGGGATGCTTTTTTAAAAGTCTGTCTGAAAAAAGTCAAATGCAACAAATAATAAGAGCTATAGAAATAAAAGACATGTTAGGTCTCAGTCACTAAACTCAAATTTTATGTTTAAAATACAATATACTTTTAAGTCTGGAAGAAAAAAGTCTGCCTGACAAAACGAAGCTATTAAACAGTGTTAGTGTCAGGAAAACAGGTTTTATGCAGGATGGAGAGTGACTAGAAGGGGAGAGGGGGGTTGAGGTGTAGGTATTCCTGGCGGTTGAAGTGAAAGTGGCTCAGTCATGTCCGACTCTTTGCAACCCCATGGACAGTAGCCTGTCAGGTTCCTCTGTCCATAGAGATTCTCCAGGCAAGAATACTGGGGGTGGTTTGCTGTTCCCTTCTCCAGGGAATCTTCCCAACACAGGGATCGAACCTAGGCCTGCCGCATTGCAGGCAGATTCTTTACCATCCTAGACACCAGGGAGTTACATGTGGTAATTCAGTGAACTTCCCGGTACATTTACATATACTATACTTCAAAATAAAAGGTCTAAATAACATTTTTTTAAAACCTAACTGAAAATGCTTTCTCATCCCTAGAGAACCATGGAATTCATCTCAGAAAGGAAAAAACTGCCCTTTGGTTTAAGAAAGCCCAGAGAGGGGCCCTGGGGTTATAGAAGAAAAGACCCTTGGACTTCCCTGGTGCTACAGTGGATAAGAATCTGCCTGACAATGCAGGGGACACGGGTTTGATGCTTGGTCCGGGATGAGTCCACACTCCATGGAGCAACTAAGCTTGTGAGCCACAACTATTGAGCCAGCCTGCTGCAACTACTGCAGCCTGTGTGCCCAGAGCCTGAAGCCTGAACACCACAATGAAGAATAGCCCCCTCTTGCCACAACTAGAGAAAGCCTGCATGCAGATACAAAGACCCAGTGTAACCAAAATATATAAATAAGTAAATTATATATTTAAAAAAGACCCTCCTTTGGTCTGGCTGAGATTATACTTGATTTTAAAGGGTTACCCAAGAGAATGGAGATCATGAGGGCATTTGGATTACATGTATTTGTGACATTTGTTTGGAAGGGTGTGTGTGTGTGTGTGTGTTTATCTATGACTAAATAGCTATGAAAACATATGTAAAATATCATTAACACGAATATACTGCTTCTCTGTTGCATTCATAGATATCAAATAGTTTAACCTCAGCCCAGTCCTCCAGGGAGGATTATGCCATCTCGGGATGTAATAAGACTATCACCTCCCTCATCTTGGGCTCTAAATCTTTATTAATATAATTCTTATGCTGTCCTGACAACTACATGCAAATGGATAGAGCCTTTGTGGCTGCAAAGCCCATCGCCCACCCTTTCTTCATGTACCCAGACCTGGACTTCTGAATCCCAAGGCAGATTCTGGATTTCAGCTTCCTTAATGCCAACTCTTGTGTCAAGACTAAATTGTTCCCCAGTATTCACAACCCCCTTTTCTCTCAGACTAATAGGACCCCAGATTTTGAGCTGGGCACATGGGTAACTAAAATAACAAAGCCCTCATTTCTCCAGTTGCCTCTCAGCTAGGGCATGAAGCTAAGTTCTGGTCAATGAGATGTGAGCAGAAGTAATGTGTGTGAAATCTGGAGCCCTGTCCTTAGGAGAAAAAAGTGAGCCTTCCTGGCCCTTTCCTCCCCCAAGTTCTCACTGGAATAGGGTGTGACACTAGCCATCTGGGACCCTGTGGATGAAGTCCATACCACAGGGGAGGCAGAACCTAGAAATGGAAGGAGGGTCCCTGACACCCAAAGCAGAGAGCAAGAACCAGCTTAACTGAACAGACCCTCCAACAGCCCTTTGAACTCACTGCTCGAGGAAACTATGTAAGAGAATAGTAAACTTGACCTTGTTTATACTCCTATTATTTGGGTTCTGTTATGTGCAGCACCAGGGCTTCCCTGGTGGCTCAGATGGTAAAGAATCTGCCTGCAGTGCAGGAGACCTGGGTTCCATCCCTGGATTGGGAGGGTCCCCTGGATAAGGGAATGGCCACCCACTCCAGTATTCTTGCCTGGAGAATTCCATGGACAGAGGAGCCTGGGGGGCTGCAGTCCGTGGATCACAAAGAGTTAGACATGACTGAGCGACTAACACTTTCTGCACAGCTGACCGTATATCCCAGTGAATACAGCCATCTATCATTTCAGCTTCAACCCCCGTCCTGCCTGCTGGGAATTTGGCATCCAGTCCCTGTGGCTTCATCTGAAACAATGGTTTGTGAATATCATTCACTCCTGTGCACTGCCAAAATCTTTACTACCAACCATGTTTCCTTATTTATGACCCGCCTTTTAATTGACTTACTATCTTATGTAAATACATTTACTTTAGAAGCGAACTTTAGATTGTTATGTACATGGAAAACCTGTCTCACTCGCCACAGATGGAAGGTAACTCTACAAAGACAGCAAAAGCAAAGCAAAGGTGTCAACTTCTGGTGAGATGTGTCCGTGGAAGGCTCTGAGCCTCCAGTCTGCTGTCTGTTTAAGAAAAAAAAAAAAAAAATAGCAAGGGATGGAGGGAGATGAGCAAGTGAGAGAGAGAGAAGAAAAATAATGGTACCAAATGGATACTTTCTCCCTGGGAAAATCAGAAAGCCTGAAAGAGATGGGAAACAGGAGAGGTGTTCTCTTGGGGTGGGTCTTAATTATTTGATGCTTTGTGAGGGTCTTTGACCAAAAACCTGAAAAGAAGAAACTTCTGGTACAAACTCCCTTTGGGCCATCTTTGCCCCATGAGGAGCTGTGGAGCTGCAGAGACGGGTAGCAAGCCCACAGGGGACCCCGGGCCCTCTTTTGGGTGAGGGTTTGGTACGATCTGGGCATAGGTACTCACCCACTGGCAGGTCTTCGGGCAGGCTCACTGCTGACATGTTGGACACAAATATTGGGGCCGTATTGGCTGCCACTGCAGGGACACAGGGTGCAGGAACATCTGGACACCTCTGGAAAGACTGAACCCCATCTCCCGCCATGGGAGCCCGTACCAGTCCCATTGGCCAGCCTTCAGCCCAGCTCACCAGTCTGGGGCTGAATTCCTCCCCAGGCCTCCCCAGGGCAGCCAAGCATAGTGCTGGGCCATAGGAGCTAGGTTTTTGCTGATGGAGCAGCAGCCCGCCCTTCAGAGGGTTCTGCTGAGGGCCCCAGGGTTAGTGCTGATGGGAAAGGGGAGGTACCTACCAGACACCCCAAGGGCAGGAAGCAAGAGGCAGGACAGCCACGGCCACCCCATCATGTCTGGAGGGACCTGCAGGAAGAGACATCAGGCCTGGACCCAGGCCTCCCTCCTCTGGTGGAATTTTGTCTGTGGGCCCAGCCCTGGCCCACTCACCACCATCACTCAAGGCTCTCCCCCAGGCCCCTATCAAATTCTGCCCATTTGCCAGATGTGCCTGGGGAGGGGAAGTGGGCGGGGGGGTGCGTGGCATGAGAGAGAGGGCAGGGTAGCTGAGCCTGGTCTAGAGCTTCAGCCTGAGACTGAACCTGAGCTTGACCCCAGAGGTCACTGCCCAATGTGGAGCAGGCATGGCCCCAGGTATATTGGATGCATAATCTCCTTATTCCTACAACGACAAAGTGACTACTAAAGAACCAAGTCTGAGAGACTAGGGGGCTTGCCTGAGGCCACACACAGTCAGCGTTAAGACCATGCTCTGAACACAGGTCTTTTGGACTCCAGAATCCATTCCCTCAACCACTACGCTGCCCTGCCTAATTGAAGTGTCCAAGCTAATAGAGCCCTTCAAAATCAGGGGCCTAGAGAGGGACTGTGACTTGTCCAGGACCATCCAGAGACTCTATGGGTGGGCAGGGTCCTTTGTCCTACTTGCTGACACAATAAATTGCTGCCTTGGCATCCTTTCTCAAAGTGTACTCCATGGAACCCCAGCCCTGGAAGATGCCCCATAGCAGAAGGGTTCCCTGGTCAAGTCAGTATGGGAAGGACTCTGTGCTCCTCTTGCTGACTGGGAGCTGAGCAGGGAGCATTGGAAGACTCTGCCTGGCCCAGTCTTCTTGGTCGCCTTACGTTGCAAGCTGTCTTTCATCCAGGAAGAGGGGGACTTGGATTCACTATCATCAGGAGATGCCTGAAGCACCAAGGTTCTTTCACCCCAAAAGATGATGGATTCCAAAGCCAAGGGAGAACAAGACAGTTCCACAGATGTTTCTTGCTCTCTGTCGAGAAAATGTGCTGCATGTCTGCATCTGTGTGATTGTTCCATAAAACAGGACATTGTACTGTACAGCCTTTTGCGCCTTTTGTGCAAATTGTGTGCTAAGTGAATGAGTGAACTTTTCCAAAGATAAATCGAAGCTGTAAAGTGCACAAAACTATGGCTGATTCATGCTGATGTTTGATAGAAACCAATGCAATACTGTAAAGCAATTATCCTTCAATTAAAAATAAGTGCACGCATGTGTACTAAGTCAATTCAGTCCTATCTGACTCTTTGTGACCCCGTGGACTGTGGCCCGCCAGTCTCCTCTGTCCATGGGGATTCTCCAGGCAAAAATACTGGAGTGGGTTGCCGTGCCCTCCTCCAGGGGATCTTCCCAACCCAGGGGTCAAACCCGCATCTCTTGCATCTCCTGCATTGTCAGGAGGGTTCTTTACCATTAGGGCCACCTGGGAAGCCCCCAAAATAAATAAATAAATAAAAATAAAAGTACACAAAAGAACACAGTCAATGTCAGGCACCCTAGCTGGGTCCAGGCAGCTTCCTGTCCTGCCCCAGTGTGGCTGAGGCCAGTGGCCTGCCATTTTCCAGAGGAGCCTGGCTCCAAAGCTCCGGGAGAACGACGAGGGAGGGACCCCAACCCACAGTGGACTCCATATGACGGGCCCTCCGTGAGGGGCAGAATGGCTTCCAGAGCTGAACCTTGACCAGAAACCAGAAGGCCTCTCCCTCCCACCACCCAACCCTCCTGAGTTCCCACCTCAGGGACACCCATGTCCCCATCACCCTTGATGCCCCCTCTCCTGAATGCCCTGCATTCAATCCAATTCCTGCATCTCTTACATTTATTCTCCATCCTACATCAGGCTTCTTCTCCCCCTGGCTCAGCCCTCCTCAAGGGCTCCTTCCCTTCCTTCTCTTTAATCCAGTCCTCTCAACCAAAATTATCCCTCCTCACTTCCTCTAATCACCTCCCTCCCCTGCTCCAAACCTTACAATGGCTCCTTTTGCCAAACTGCACAAAAAGGCTTCACAGGGACCATCCGCACCCTGACTGCCACCACTGCCCCCGCCCCGCCGCCCCCAGCTTCCTCTCTAACCACACCCTGCCTCCCTCCCTCACACCTCTCCCTACAAGAGACCCCCCCACTTTCCCTCACTCTGCATATGAAGAGTCCTCTTTCTGGAATGCCCTTCCTCTCCTTACTGCCTGGTCCTCCCTGGTGAGCAGTTCCAAGGTTATGTTTCCTCCCGACACTCCTGCAATGTTCCAGGGAGGAGCTGAATTCCTGTGCCAGCCCAGAGACCTCACGAGGTGCTGCTTAGATCCCAGCCTGAACCCTGTGGCTCTCAGGGCCCATTAACTTTTTGCAGATCAGCCTCTCCCTTTCAGACCAGGAGAGATGTGAAGGCAAGGTCCAGGTCTGATTCATCTCTCTGATCCCAGGACGGAGCCAGGGATGAGCCCACAGCAAGCTCATGGGGCATTTCTGAATTGAATGAATGAGTGTGCCAGTGAATCACTGTAACCCCAGTGGCCTGATGTGGAACACACCTGAGAGAGGGGGCCAGGTGTGAGAGGTAAGCATATAGGCTAGAGAGCTTGGGTGCAGATTCAATGTAATCTCGGGCAAGTAAGTTAACCTTTCTGGGCCTCAGCTCCCCCATCTGTAAACTGGGAATAATAATAGCACGTACAGTACAGGGCCTGTGGGAGGCTCCCACCGTGCCTGGCTCAAAGTAAATGAATCAAAAACGTCAGCAATTTTTTAAAATTATTATCATGGAGGAATAAAGGCACACCCCATATTCTGCCCTGGCCAGCCTTGGTCACTTCATAAGCCCCTCTCGGTCAATAGCCCTGAGACAGCCAGAGGGACCCTGGCTCCAATCTGGTCACTATCTTCTGGGCTTGGCTTCCTGCAACCTGCCATGAAGTTCCAGCCTGAGCCTTCCCCCTTTAACTCAGAGTTATGTTTGCCCCCACTTTGCCCAGACCTGCTGAGGCATCGACAGGGTTGGTAATTTTACATATCTGCTAACAGGACTTACTGAATGGTCCAGTGGTAAAGAATCCACCTGTCAATTCAGGGGACACTAGTTCAATCCCTAGTCTTGGAAGATCCCACATGTTGCAGAGCAACTGAGTCCATGTGTCAGCACTACTGAGCCTGTGCTTTAGAGCCCAAGTTCTACAACAAGAGAAGCTACCACAATGAGAAGCCAGGGCACTGCAACAAAGATTAGCCCCTGCTCACCACAACTAGAGAAAGCCCACGCAGCAACGAAGACCCAATGCAGCTGAAAATGTGTATATATGTGGAATAAAGAAGTTGTGGCATACACACACACACATATATATATGTATATACACATATATGGAATACTATTCAACCATAAAAAATAATGAAAATTTGTCATTTGCAATAACATGGGTGGACTTGGAGGGTATTGTACTAAGTGAAATTTCAGACACAGAAAGACAAACACTATATGATATAGAATTTATATAGAATTTTAAAAATAAAACAAACTAGTGAATATAACAAAAAAGAAACAGATACAGGGACCAAACTAGTGTTTACCAGTGGGGACAGGTAAGGGGAGGGGCAAGAAAAGGGTAGGAGTACAAACTACTAGGTAGAAAATAAATAAGCTAAAAGGATATATTGTACAACACAGGGAATATAGCAAATATTTTGCAATAGTTAGAAATGAAATATTACCTTTAAAGATTATGAATCACTATGTTGCATACCTGAAACATATAATATTGTACATCAACTATATCTCAATAAAAATGTAAAAATCCTACACGTTTTATGATTAAGACATCTGGGCAGGTTCACTGACTTTTCAATAGAATATTGATTCTATTGTGCCAGTTTCCAGACCCAGGTCTCATGATATTGGGAGTCTCCCCTTCCTGCCTCTTGGAACACTCACTCTTGGGACTCAGCAGCCATGCTGTACGGGATCCCAAGCAGCTCCGTGAAAAGGTTTATGTGGAGAGGAACCAAAGCGCCTGGCCCACAGGCCCTTCAAGCTCCCGCTGACGGGCAAAGCCCACCTGCATAAGCAAGCCATGTGTGTGAACCACCCTGAAAAGGTCCCTCCTCCTCCATGAGCCATCCCTGCTGAGCCCTGTCCAAACGGCAGATTGCTCAGCATAATAAATGACTGTTGTTGCTGTTTGCCAGTGAGCCTTGGTGTGGCTTGTTTTGCAGGAGTAGATAATGGGAACCCATCGGGTGGAGTCTCTGAGGAGGTGAAGAGTCAGCAGAGATCTGAGGGGTGAGAAGAGATGCTGTGTGAGGAGTGGTGGAGGGAGGCTCCTGTTAAACAGGGACAGTTCAACACCGTCCTTCCTCTCGAAACCCCATTAAAATGATGGTAAAGAGTTTAGAACTGGGATGAATTGATGAGAGACTATCAAGCTAATGATAGCTTGATAGACTGATGAGAGATTACCAAGCTAATGATGGTTCAAACCAGAGTAAGGATGGGGGTAAGCAGCACCCACAGGCAGTGAAGTGAAAGTCGCTCAGTCCTGTCTGACTCTTTTCAACGCTATGGCCTGGAGCCCGCCAGGCTCCTCTGTCCATGGGATTCTCCAGGCAAGAATACTGGAGTAGGGTGCCATTTCCTTCTCCAGGGGATCTTCCCAGCCCAGGGATTGAACCCAGTTCTCCTGCATTACAGGTGGAGTCTTTACCTTCTGTGCCACCAGGGAAGCCCAGGAAACAAGCTCAAAACCACAACAAGCCTGCAGGATGGAAGGTTAGGACGCTCAGAAAGCAGAGGTGTGGAGTGGCCTGAAGGCAGGAAACTGGTTGCATAAGAAGCAATTCAGATTCCGAATATTACTTCCTCATCCCCACCCTAGAGCACAAAGAGGCTGCTTCCTGGGGAGTTTGAATCAGACAGATCTGGATTCTGGGACCCTTGGCCTGGTGGAGATGGGGGCATCAGAGCAAGACAGGGCGTTAAGTGAAAGAGCACACACTCAGTGGTGACTCCCTCAGCTCCTTTCCCCCCAGTCAGTCCCAAGAGCACTGACCAATATGAC